GTTTGGGTCAGGGAATGGGGTCATAAAACACCTGTCTCCATGCAGGACCCTTTTGTAATCACCTGTTTAATGGAAAAATGCAGTTCTCAGCATAAGTGTATGTAATACCGTGAGTTTGATCTTTATAATTTTCCTTAGCCTACCATGTTCAAATAATGTTCATAAATGTGAATCTCTTAAAATTCTTGAGTCATGCACAGATCCTGGCCATTTTGCTTTCACACTGATTTGTGATATAGAACATGGTCACACACCATCTAAAAGATTTTACTCAGTCAAATGCCTTTTAAAAAAGTGATATAATATTCCAAATCTGGAATATTAAAAATTATAATAGTAATTTGGCTGCACTGTATAAGCCCCCTTTCTGCTCACAAAATCCCTTCATTGAGGCCTTGATGGGAACATGTGTGTAGTATGGCACCAATCAGGTAAGCCTGAGGGACTGTAAGTCATAATCGGCACGGTCATCATGATTGCATTATCTTTCATAAAAAAATTATAATATACCCTAAGTTGGCAAAAAAACAACAAAAAAACAAAAACAAAACAAACCTAAGAAACCTACTTTGTGAATGGCACGACAGAAAGCTTATCAAGTTCTCCGCATCTCCAATGGTGTAAAGGAAGCCACTTGCAAATAATTTTAGGGCAATGCAAACATTTTGTGCTGTTGTTGAAGCCCGACATCGAATCGAACATTAATGTGCATTTCCAACAAAATAATAATGTATTTAAACGACACCCTCACGACGATCGTTTCACGAGAAAAAATAAATAAATCTCAGAAATTAGGCTACACTATCGCGCTGCGCTCAAAGGACTTCCCGTATCAGCCGTGATCTAATCCTGTTTACATGAAATAAGCCTGCTCGCGAGCAGGTTTAAGCTGACGGACCTGTTGCTATGACAGCAAGTCCAGGATGAGCGTCGAAGAACCAAACGATCCAAGATCATGGCAAATCGCCAACAATCAAATCCAGCTAACTGAGTTAGCGACGTACGAAGAACGAGCCCCTGAACTGCTTGAACACCGATAAATGCTGCTTGCAGCTTTAATTATAGTTTACTGGGAACAATATGTTAAGTTTTGGGTAATAAAGGGGTACCACCAGATGTACTGTATGCAAATTATTTATAATGTAATTATTTTAAAACAGGTACCTATTCTGTTAATATATTCCAGGCAAAAATTGTACGTATATTGTATATAAAAGTTATCACATTTCTGGCAAAATATGTTCATGTGCAATGTAGTTACAGTGTAATTTTTACATCTGTAGGTTGTAAATTTAACATATACACCTTACACCTACACGGAAGTACACTATAATTACATAGACATACACTGTAATCTCGGATTACTTACGCAGTTGTTTGTGGGTTGTAATGTGAAGTGTTGCCGAAAAATGTGGTATGTTGTTCTTTCTCTAGATGATCTGAAAAAGGCTATGTACCAGCGTCACATTCTCGAGGCTGTGGGAAACTCATGGCTTTCAATGTGTGTCAGTGGACTGTGATATATATATGCATGCTTGCCATCAGGAGCCAGTCTCGTGCAAACTACCAACACTAACATCTGACCTCTCCTTTGGTAATCGGGAAAGGCAACAGGACGGTTTTAAAGACTCAAGCTCTTATAGTTTAATATAAAAATGATCCCATGTGAAATTTATATACTGAAAACAATACACATGCGCTAACTTAATACATGAGAGCACACTTGCTACAGTATTCATTAATCTTCATTGATTGTCAGCTCAAATATATTAAATCCGATAAAACTTAACTTGAAGCCTTTTTATATAAAATGCATTATAAAAGTATTTTAATGCATTAATTCGTAATGCATGGTCTCATGAATAATTGTAATACATTATATACTTGTCTATTCATTGCTACAATGCATTAAAACACATGACAACTGGCATCTGCAAATACTATAGTGAATTTTAACTTTGGTTACAATTATTTATGGAAATAAAAAATGCATTTGAACTTGCATTATTAATACCTTTATAATGCATAATACATCAAGTGTAACTGATACAACTATTGATTTTAAAAATGTATTAGTAAATGCTAAAATTAACATTAAAGCTGCAGTCTGCAGTTTTTGCTCTTTGTCGCCATCTCTGTTCGAAATCTGCAATTGCAGTCATTCACACAATTATCAACTTTACGTGAGTTGTGCCTCGGCACAATGTTTGAGGAGAGTGTGTGTGTCAGTCGCCGCCGGTGTGGATACTGGCATTCACAAATCACAGATTAGTCTTTTTGGAAGTATGACCAACATAGGAGTTTTCACCGGAAAATATCATCAAAAAAACATCCACTTTTGTTCTGACCGACTAAGGGAACAAAAACATTGCAGTAAAAGCCCTTGTACACCGAGTACGAAATTCGCATCCGAAATTAATAATCCGTTAAAAAATAAATACGACCTCACGTTATGTCAATCACGCTTGCACACTGCCTACGAAACTTTCATCCGTCATTAAAAAAAAAAAATCAAATTGGGTTTGATTTACTGCGTTTTTCGCATTCGTAGCTACTAGCGAGCAGTTTGAATGATCTTTTGACAATTCAGAGCCACCAAATCACGAATATGAAAAAACACATGTGAAAATTATGGAATCAAAGTGTGCAATGGCCTTAAATCGTGCTGATTAAATCTAACGATCGCTTATTATCACGCAACCATGCAAATTATACTTTGTTCTCAAATTGTTAATGTTAACAACGTCAGCATTGCGTGACTACATGTAAAGCCCTCCCGATATTATCCTTATTTTCAGATGGACCGGTGGAAGTCCAAACGAATACAATGCAGAATAAAGTCGTCGTTTTTGTTATTTTTGGACCAAAATGGATTTGCGATGCTTCAAAACATTGTAATTAACCCACTGATGTCACATGACTACTTTGATGATGTCTTTATTTCCTTTCTGGACAAGGACAGTACACCGTACACACATTTCCAATGGAGGGACAGAAAGCTCTCTGACTAAATCTAAAATATCTTAAACTGTGTTTTATGAAGATGAACGGGCTTGGGACGACATGAGGGAGAGTCATTAATGACATCATTTTCATTTTTTGGGTGAACTAACCCTTTAATACCTGCAAACAAACAGTCACTTGTTCTGGTTTATCTCCATCTCAAGCTGAATGTGTCAGTATATTAAAAACAGTTACAGACACGCACTGTTTGGTTATTGCAGTTTCTTAGAAAAATGTTGTAATAGTTCGTAGCGAAGGCGTTTCCGTCTCCTATAGGCTAAACGTATAGGCGTATCTCACGTCTATAATAACAAACAGCTGTAAAGAACAAATCCCCCAGGTCTCTTTATACGGGGTAAACCTATAAAGTGTCCTGCTGGGATTTTCATAGTTAAGGATGTAAATACCATTCATTTAAAACTCACACTAATTGCACTATTAACTTCATAATTACTGCAAAAACAACAGTCCAAATGCTTTTGCAGCTGATAGAGTTGATAGTGTGTTATTAAATGTGTGTTTTGTTGTGCATGTGAGTGACTCTGAGGTATACACTGTAAACATTGTGTTTTCAATGTAAAATGCTGACATTGTTCCCTGTTCCAGAACGGCCCAGAGAGAGAGAGAGAGAGAGAGAGAGAGAGAGATACAGCAGTTCTTTGTGTTTTATCACCCTGTTTGTGTGTTTTGCTGTGATGTTTTTTTTTTATTTTCTTCTAATTATTGGCGGCAGTTTTCTACCTTTGAACTACGCATGGAACATATTAAATGATAAAAATGACAGTGAAGACATTTATAATGTTGTACACTGAAGATACTTTGAAACATCCCAAAATATGCTGGAGAACCTGATCATCAGGAAGAAAAGAAAGAAAGAAAGAAAGAAAGAAAGAAAGAAAGAAAGAAAGACAGACCGAAAGAAAGAAAAACAGAAAGAAAGAAAACAGAAAGAAAGAAAGAAAGAAAGAAAGAAAGAAAAGAAAGAAAGAAAGAAAGAAAGAAAGAAAGAAAGAAAGAAAGAAAGAAAGAAAGATTTTCAATAGTAATCTCATTTGGACCCCACTGTATGTATAGTGTGAGTGTGTGAGTGTGTGAGTGTGTGAGTGTGTGTGTGTGTGTGTGTGTGTGTGTGTGTGTGTGTGTGTGTGTGTGTGTGTGTGTGTGTGTGTGTGTGTGTGTGTGTGTGTGTGTGTGTGTGTAGCCTCTGGTTAAGAAAGTAAGCAGCACACCCCCTTGCAAACCTCTGTGCCAACTGTTATATAACAAAGCTGTTAAAAGAGAAGGGGCCCTAAACGCAACATTATATACGCATCTGTGTGTGTGTGTGTGTGTGTGTGTGTGTGTGTGTGTCTGTTTACAAGAAAGGGCCCTAAACTCAACATTATATATGCCTCTGTGTGTGTGTTTGTGTGCACTGAAAAGTGAGAACTGAATGGATGACATTGAGATTTATGTGTGTGTGTGTGTGTGTGTGTGTGTGTGTGTGTGTGTGTGTGTGTGTGTGTGTGTGTGTGTGTGTGTGTGTGTGTGTGCTCGGTGAACGGCACAGACCTACAAGTGTATTGTGGGTCAGCATATCTGTACTCTGGGATATCTGTACTCTACAAATAATATTAATAAAAGGGTATGTGCTCATTTAGGTGTGTGCGTTTTGTGTTATGTACCATATTTTGAAGTGCATTCTGGTGTGTGTGTGTGTGTGTGTGTGTGTGTGTTTGTACATGTTTTCTATCCCGGTGGGGACTTAAACCTGAATGCACACAGACTCATGGGGACAAATGGACCTAAACTGAGGAAACAAGCTTATAAGTCACACAAAATTAGTTTTTTTTTTTTTGTTGTTGTTGTAAAAATGCGAAAGTTTATGGGTCGGTTTAGTGTAAGGGGGCAGAATATACAGTTTGGAGAGTGTCCACAAAGATAGCCAACCGGAAGCGAGTGTGTGTGTAAGGGGCGTGTGTTTATGTAACGGGGGGGCTGCGCTATATAAGAGTGTGTCGAGGGACTCCGCTCAGAATTCGCTCCTCGAGGCCCAGATTCACACACACACACACTCCGGACTGAGCTCTGCCGTAGCCATGCCAACCACCGTACTGGGATTGCTGGGAGTTTTGCTCTGCGCCCTTGCTGTTAGTTCTGAGGTCACACCACAGACAGATTTCAACATCGAGAGGGTAAGACTGAGGAATGTATCTAGAACATGTATCCCGCAGATTTGTAATGATTTTAGGTCTCACTTGTAAAAGAGGTTTTAACCTCAATGTGACTTTCCTAGTTAAATAAAGGTTAAGATTAAGAGAAGAGAATATCCTCAACCATCTGGTGCTCTTTGCATGGCGCATTAATTTTATTTCAATGGAATTAATCTGTTATATTTTAGTTCCATAATGTTTTTTATTTAATATTTGGTATTTTTGGTGGATTTTGTGGTACTAAATTATTTTTATGCTGTATTTATAATCCATTAATTCACTTTTTGAGCATATACCAGAAAATGAAACTTAAACTGTCGTAAATTTTGAATGTTTAGAGCACAGAATTAAGTTTGATCTCTTTTCAAAGACAACACAAGTTTTAAAAAGAGAACTTTAAAAAAATATATAAAGAATTTTACGTTTATTGCCATGATCTTAAATATTTTTTATGAAATTTATTTTATCACAACTTTCTTAAATTGTGAGAAAATCAAAGTTGTTTTCAAAATCTGAGCCTGATATTTTTAACCATGAAAAGCATTCATTAACAACCATTTAACCTGTTCAAATCACGCCCATGATTTTGTGTGTGTGTGTGTGTGTGTGTGTGTGTGTGTGTGTGTGTGTGTGTGTGTGTGTGTGTGTGTGTGTGTGTGTGTGTGTGTGAGTGTGTTCATATAGCAAGTGTCCAACATTCCAATGAAGAAAAAAAACAAATGTAAAATTTTTCAGTCAAAACTGCACCAAAAGGAAAATGTTGTTGATGTGTGTGTGTCCTTCATATAGGTGGCTGGGAAATGGTACCTGATCGGTTTTGCCACCAATGCGGAGTGGTTTGTCACCCGTAAGGCGCACATGAAGATGGGCATCGCCATGCTGACACCGACCAATGAAGGAGATCTGGAGATGGCTTATTCCAGTCTCAAGTAAGACGAACTGATCACTAAAAATAAGAAACTATTAACAAAACTTTCTCTTGCTTGCACATGTAAATATTTTACCCTCTTGTTCCATCTTCCCAGATCTGATGGCACATGCTGGAAGATGAACCATCTCGCTCAGAAGTCTGATGTTCCTGGAATATTCAGCTTCCGCAGCGACCGTAAGGAAGACCTGATAGACATGATGAAATACAGTGTAGTGGTGGTTTATACAGGACTCAAATGAGAAATGATGTTTCTTCCACAGGTTGGGAGACTGAAAATCAAATGACCATTGTTGATGTGAATTATGATGAGTTTGCTTTGATCCACACTGTGAAGACCAAGGCTGGATCCTCCACAGTGCTCAACAAGCTCTACGGTAACACACATTCACATTAACTTGAATTTGTGTTGCAAGCTGTGAATTCAGATTTTTTCATTTTGATTGCGCTTGGTCTGATCCAGCTTTGTTTAGCATGGAAATAAGTCTTGGGCTTTTCACACTGTGCTTAAAGGGTTAGTTCACCCAAAAATGAAAATTCTGTCAGTATTTACTCACCCTCATGTTGTTCCAACCCCGTAAGACCTTCGTTCATCTTCGGAACACAAATTAAGATATTTAGGATATTAAAATCGCTCCTGCATACAGTCCATAGGCTTCTTGAGGGACTGGCTCTTGCTGTCCTCGAAAAGTAATTGAAGACATCGTTAAAATAGTCCAAGTGACTACAGGGGCTCAATCTTAAGTTTATCAAACGACGAGAACACTTTTGTGCGCAAAAAAACAACAAAAATAACGACTTTATTTCAACTATTCACTTCCTTCTCCATAAGCCTATAGTCCGTTAACGTAGTGTGATTGCGTAGAGCTACGTCACACGTAGGCTCACTATTGGTCGACGCTGGTCATCAATGTTGCCAGGGTGGCGGTTTTCCCGCACAATTGGGCTATTTTAAAAAAAGAGTTGCGGGAAAAATTATGGAGTTGCGGGTTGCGTTTTTTTGGGCTATATTTATTATGTATTGCGGCCACAAAAATAATAATAATTAAATTGTAGACAAAGAAAAAATTAAAAGGGAACCGTTTATTAGTGGGTATTGTTGATCCCCGGGAATGAATATTTGGCAACAACCACTGACTGTGGCGGGCGCTATCATAGATGGGCGCTATGTGCGGGCGAGTGGACGCGTCTCATGTGTTTTTGACGTAACATCACAAATCTAGCATCATCACATCACCTTCGAAGTGTTCCAAATGATGATAGAAAAACGTTCTGCAAATATTGCAAATGTGAAATCAGAGTTCACCACAGTGATCTAGTAGCTTATGCTGTGAGTGAATAACATTAAAAAAAACATTTATTTGACACAGGCAAAGTTGCTTTCTAAGAACTAATGTTGCTGTGAAAGAGGAAGCTGGCTGCCCACGTTGCTTGTCACTCAAGCACTTCAACTGTTGATCATTTAGTGACTACTAGGGTCAGAAAATATCAGAGAGGACAAGTTCTTGACCTTTATTGTATGAGATTGTGTTTCAGTGTGTGATATTAAGATTTTGGGTGAGACAAAAGGTCAAAACTTTAAACTTAACACACACACATATATCTATGTATGTATCTATCTATCTATCTATCTATCTATCTATCTATCTATCTATCTATCTATCTATCTATCTATCTATCTATCTATCTATCTACCTATCTATCTATCTATCTATCTATCTATCTATCTATCTATCTATCTATATATATTTTTTTTCTTCAAATAACCAGGTTAAGTTTTATTTAAACAGGTGAAACTCGAAAAATTAGAATATCGTGTAAAAGTTCATGTATTTCAGTAATTCAAATTAAAAGGTGAAACTTTTCATGATATTCAAATTTTTCAAGTTTCACCTGTATATAGAGGGAAAATATATACATATATACACACATATATTTATATGTATATATATATATATATATATATATATATATATAAAATTGGGCTAGTTTTCATTCCATTTGGGCGGGTTTTGAGTTGTCATTGGGCTTGAAATATTTCTGGGACCTGGCAACCCTGCTGGTCATGTGTGTGTGATGCGTGTGACGTACAATAGCAGAAGCTTACGCTATTAAACTAGTTAGCTGACTCGCGCAGAGGGAGAAATAAACGAATAGTTGAAATAAAGTCGTTATTTTTGTTGTTTTTTTGCGCACAAAAGTGTTCTCGTAGTTTGATAAACTTAAGATTGAGCCCCTGTAGTCACTTGGACTATTTTAACGATGTCTTTTATGACTTTTCGGGGACAGCAAGAGCCAGTCCCTCAAGAAGCCTATGGACTGTATGCAGGAGCGATTTTAATATCTTAAATATCTTAATTCGTTTTCCGAAGATGAACGAAGGTCTTACGGGGTTGGAACAACATGAGGGTGAGTAAATACTGACAGAATTTTCATTTTTGGGTGAACTAACCCTTTAATCTCGGGAACCACACTTTAAACCTTGGGTAAAAGATTATGAAACCCTGTTCTGTTTATAAAACCCCAGGTTTAGTGTCGCTTTGTTAGTGTTAACCCTGCATCTAGATGGCAAATGTGTGTAGTGCGAATATGATCATATTCACATTATTTATTTAGAAAGTCAATGAAACATAGTAGATATGTAGAGCCCCGCCACTTTTCCATCACTGTAA